AAAAAAAAAAAAAAAATGGGGTATGAAAAGAGAAATGGTAGAAATTGATTAGAAAATATCCCATGTAATAAAACGTGTAATACACCCCCTTCTTCTCCCATCACCACAATTTCTGAGTGCTTTTTTGCATTCACTTGAGAATTACACTCCTTAATCTGTTTAATAAAGTTCTTTACTATAGTTATGTCACCGGTTTTTTTAAATGTAAGTTTTTCACATATCATATCCCAGTATCTCTGAAATTGACAAAAAGAAATGTGAAATTCGGGAATCTGTAATGCCCCTCCAAATATTTTAAAAATTATTTTATAATTGTGATCGTCTGGATTAGGCATACTTTCACATTTAACATACCAAGCATGACGATTTGCTAAACAAATCGTTATGTAACACCTTGTTGCCCCTAAATTAATTACTTTACAATCATAAAGAGTGATTTTTCCTTTTTAAGGACAAATTTGTCCGTGGTGCAATTTTTCCTCAAGACTACCATTTTTCCCCCAGGAGAGAAAGCATCTTTCCTAAATTCTAGATTTCCAAGAATATGACAACTGCTTTTCTAGGGACTAAGGAATTAAAAAAAAATTACTGCGAGCAATTTTAAGACACACCATCTCATAAAAGCAGTGACAGTTCCAAGCTTCTCAGGAACTGTATATCAATGTTGCCACAAACATCAAAAGAGAATTCGGGGATGGAAGCAGTGCCATTCTGCATTTGATGCTGCACTAACACCTACTTCAAACTTAATCTGAAGTTATCCGTTATCCCAGTGTTATCTTCACGTCTACTTTAAGAGGCAGGTAAGGGAGATGGCTGGCCGCCCATCCTCTGTGGGACACATGTTGGGTAAGGACACGCACACCCAACTTATATCTCCACTTATATCGCTTTAGTTATATCTCCAACTAAAATAATAAAAGCGATAGCAAACCCTCCTAGAGTCTAGAAAAAGAGTTGTCTAGAAAAGAGTAATACCGACTAGACTGCCCCAAACTTAAACCCTCCGAGCAGTTTCACAGCCCCGTAGTTTCGCCAACTCAGTAGTCCCCGGGGAGCCAAGGCTGGGCTGCGAGGAGCTCGCCGTGGGCCGGGAGCCCGGGAGAGGCCAGCCCAAGCTCACCTCACGCACCTGGCCCGAGGCAGAGGAAGCGACGAAGCCCAGGGGACAACAGCTGGTGACACCCCCACCTAGCCAGCCCAGCGGCTCTGACTCACCTGCGGAGCCGATTTCCATTCATGGAGCTGGGGGGAGTGCTTCGAACGAGAACAGCGCCCGCCGCTGGGGGCAAGGAGGCGGCGCGACGGGCAGCTCACGCAGCCCCGAGGCGGGGGGCGGCGACGGCTTCCCCAGAGTCCCCGCACTCCGACAGCTCTCAGCCGGAAGGGCCGCTGTCTGGAGACAGCACCGGACTAGGCGAGAGGAGGGAGAGGCGTGAGTCGCAGACAGAGTGGAGAGCCGTCCGGAACTTGCGTCGCCCGCTCCTCCACGACTGCGGGCCACCTCCGGAAGCCCGCCGGCGTCAGTTCCGCTACCCGGCTCGCCGACGTCCGCGCCGCGCCGCGCCGCGCCTCGCCTCAGGGCCCGAGCGACGTAGGTGCGGGAGCGCCCGGCGCGGAGGACGCCGGGGAGGTATCAGGGAGGGCGCGGGGCCGGGGGCGCGCGCGGCGGACTTGGCCTGCCCCCGCTGGCCGGTGCCTGCCGGAGACAACCCCGAAGCCTGCCCTCGTCGCGCCACCCCCGGGGCGGGGCCTGCCGGCGGCGACGTCGCAGCTGGCGGCGGCGCTTACCTGAGGCGCAGCCCAGCTCGGAGCTGCAGTCCCCGGCCCCGACTAGCTGCAGAGCGGCCCCGGGCCGAGCCCCACCCCCGTCCGCAGCCCCACGCGCCGCCTCCTCACGGGCGGTCAACTGACCCTCGCAATTGATCCCTCCAAGTCCGTAGGCCTGTTTTAACCACTTTTACGGGAAGAATATACAAATATTATTTGGAAAAAAATTAAAAAAGAGGACATTACACAAGTATTAGGTCGAATAATTTGTTTTAAGACTTTAATAGCTCCCCGTCACACTCGGAAACCCAGATTCCTTTTCAGGGTCGAAACGCGCGGCGTCCTCGGGCCCCGCCTGTCTCCCTGTCCGACCCGTCTCGGGCTGCTGCAGCCCAACGGTCAGCTTTCAGTTTCCCACAGGCCCAGAGCTGCTTTCTGACCTGAAGCCTCTCTGCTTTGGGTTCCCTTGGCCAAGAGCGCTCCCTTCTCTTATTCTCCACCCCACACCCAGGCGCTGCTTTTCCGATCTCATCGGAAGGCACCTGGGACTTCGCTGGACCACTCCCTGTGGGTACCCTATGATTCTATTTCAGTATTGCCTTGGTAGCCCTTTGCCCAGTTTGCAATATCTTTTAGTTGACTGCTTTTTCTGCGTGTACCGCCCTCCCCACTCGAATGGAAGGTTTATGAGTAAACTAGGTCCAGCACATTGTCAGGCAAATAGTAGGACCTTAGTATTTGTTGCCTTAGTGAAATATGATACTATTTTACTTAGGCTAAGGAATAATTCATGATTTTTCCCTATGTCTCCACACTTCAGTAAGATGGTGTGGACTTTTAAATCCAAATATTTTTTCTCCTGAAAAAAAAAGTATCTTCTGTTTCCCCAACTCACTGTAGGGGACTTTGGATCAGTCACTTGATCTCTTTGGGCTTCAGTTTCTTATCTGAAAAACTGAGAGAACAGTATGTACCTTACACAGTTGTGAGGTTAGGGAATATTAGAGAACAAAATGTTAATGAATAATCAAAGTACTTACTATGGTTACCATTTTAAAGCACTTGTTAGACTCACCTACCATAAAATGAACACTTAATAAATGGATGGGACTCAAAATCACATCACTTTCTTCTCCCTTCACATCCCTAGCCGTATGACTGAAAATAACCTCCCTTATTTTAAAATATCAAATGTCACCAGATGAAACACTGCATTTTAAAAGTCATTTTAATCCTGAACTGTACACAATCCAAATCTTGGTAGCAGCATCTGACAGGGTAAATACCAACTCTTGTGCACGGGTCTATTACACCCTCAACCCCCATGATTCTGGAACTAGTTTCCAAAGTGAATGCAAACTTCTTCAGCTTCTTCCAGAATAGACATGGTGATACTGATGAGCCTCTGAGGTGGGCTAATATCTTCTTTTTTAACATTGATGAAGTGGGATTTATATCCTCTGATTCCATTCAACTCAATAAATGTCAATAATGCCTTCCAATCTACTTCTACTATCCAGGAAGCCACCTCTTTAAAGTGAGCCCATGTAAAAGGAATTGTAGTATCAGGGAGTAGGAACACAAATAGGAGTGAAGGATTCTGCCAAAGGCAATGATGTATGAAGATCTTGACAGAATACACATATACCCTATTTTTGGATAATTCATTCCCAACCGAGTCTTCTCTTAAGGGCATAGAGCAGAGTCTTTGAGTATCTTAACTGCCGTAGCCCCAGAGCCTTGAACAGTGCCAGTGACTGGCACATAGCAGCATTTAGTAAAGATTTGTTGGACTGAAGGAGGACAGATGAATAAATGAATTGGGCTTCAAGAATGTGGCTCAGGAAGCACGCTAAAACTCTGCTGGTTGGTCTCAGAAGAACTACAGAAATAGTATAAAATCTCAGGTGCAGAAGAAATCAGTGCCCTCTGAAAGCCGAGCCTCCTCACAGCTACAAAATAGTCAATGTAAAATTTCTTAAAACAGATACAAAAAGCACAAACTATTAAATAGAAAAGGAAAAAAAGCAATAACTTGCATTTTAAATTAATACATTGGGCATCAAAATTTTGAAGTTTTGCTCTTCAAAATAAAAAGACAAGCCATATGACTGGGAGAAATATGCAAAACGTATGTAACAAAGGCTTGTGTCTAGAATTAATAACTCTTACAACAAAACAATCCAATTTAAAAATGAGTAAAAGATGTCAACAATTTAGCAACAAGAAACTGGGATAGTAAATAAGCACATGAAAGATGATCAATATCACTGGTCATCAGAGAAAGGAACAAAGAGCTACCAAATACCCAGTGCACTCAGGAAGGACAGGGTGGTCAGCTGCCTACTTTAACCGCTGGTAAAGTCCCCAAGTCAGGCTCAGGGACTCAATAGTGCCTTCCTTGCTGCCACTATTACTCTAGTCCACTTAGGACTTTTATTCTTGTGCTCCCTAAGAGAAAACATTGGATGAAGATGACAAATAGATACAATCCTCTCACATGGGGCAGGATTAGTGTTAACCTGGCACTTAATTCAAATGTCTTCTCCTAGATCATCAGTTTCTATAAGGCAGAAAAGTTGCTTTATACTGCAACAAGACACAATATAAAACATATGGGCTTATTGGACAAACAGCTATAATTGAAGGCCCTGCACTACTCACTGTGATCCTGGGAAAGTCATTCTGAGATTCATTTTCCTCATCTGTAAAAGTCAAAGAGTAGCTCTGTTGAGTAGAAGCTGCTTTCTTGCTAGTAGACATAACTAGACTTTCTAGTCCTCATGATTCAGAGCGTAACTCTTGATTAATCCAGGCCACTCATGATGATTTTGTTTTGCCAATGACCAGAATAGGAGTGAAATGACGACCCATTTTTAGTAAAGAATGAGATGAGGCCAGACTTACTGGCATTTCCAGGGAAAGACTGCTTTAGAAGGAAACACTGGAAAAAATTAGTCCCTCACCTAGACATTGTTTTCTCAGCATTTCATTCTTGGAGTTTCTGTAGTCATATTAGGACCAAGAGGTAAATGAGCATAACAATAAACAGGGGATAGCAGAGCAAAAAGATGGCAAGAACCTGGTTCTCTGGTGTCATCCCTGAGCCACTGAATTAACCAACCTTGGAGTGATATTAAATCAGGATTTGTCATGTGAAATAATAGTTTCCTTATTTAAGACAATTTAATCAGGATTTTAAAATATGCAACTGAAGGTAACTGATAAAACTATTTTACAACATCTAAGAAATACTGCAAAAAACACCTAGCCAAGTACTTCAAAGTACCCAACCAAGCCTTTCCTCCTTTTGCAACTCATTCTCATTAACAGCCCATAGACCTTTTCCACAAACTAGCTGGAAGCTCCCAATGCTTCTTTAAAGAGGAAAAGTTCCCTACGTTTGGAAGATGAGAAAGAGGACTGAGGTCTCCCTAGTAGGGTTCCTCAACATTACTTTCCCCCCTCAACCTCCCCTCCCCCCCCGCAAATGGCCAACAGGATGGTGGCAAAGCTGTTGTAATCTAGAACAAGAGTACAATATGTTCCTACAGGGTAAGCCACAAAGCCCTAAAAAACCTTAATATGATAGTCCCACAAAAGGAGTTGTGATAACTAAGTGGACAACTTCTAAATGCACCTCATTACCCAGCAAATCCATTTTCCTGCTCTTCCTTCTTGACAAAGCTACTTTGAAGGAGTGTTTCTGTCATGTACTGTATACTTTCTAAGTCTGCCAGCTTTCCTCAGCCTACTATCAGAAGAATAAATGCCTGGAAAGCTACAAACAGCACACTAGTCTTCCAATTCAACATTACTTCCCATGCAAATAGTATGGACAACAGCTTGGGGATGATGGCTCAGGCTCAACACTTCAAACTAGTCTTGCTTATGCTATAAGCCTTTCCTTTAACCACCAAATCCTAATTGCCATGCGTTTCTGGGGTCTGCTAAGCTAAGAGACATCCAAACAAATACCCAGCCTTACTCTATCCCAAGACAGCTGTTAGACAAGAACATGCTACAGAACATTTTGCCAACTGACAGAGCAGAAGGAAGGCTGCCCAACCAAAGCTGAAAAGGCAATGTCCAAGAGTACATTAGGACAAGACTTCACTCAAAACCTTGAGCTCTAGGCCCGGACAATCCAAGTCCTGGGATTACAGTCTTTTTCTCTTGAGAAGCAATCAAAACCTAAACCCTAGAGTCCTTTGAATATTAATCTCTTCTAAAACTGAAATTTAAAACAAAATTTTGCCATAGTGGCCATTCTCCTGCTAAATACTTTATTTCAGTTTAATTCAGGGTCATAAATTTATTTTATGTCTTATTTTGACTGGGAAAAATTTGCTTCATGTTCCAGTTTGCTCAGGTTAAACCAACCAACCTAACCCTTGCTGCTAAAAAGGAGCACGAGGCTAGTTGATTCAGGTTAGCTCTGCAATTTGAAAAGTCACAACATGGCACCCAGCAGATTGCTAGGCATATGCAATATGCATACATTGCCCACATATGTATACACTGGCACTGATTTCTTACTAGGCTCTTTGAAAGAATCCCTCTTTGAACCATCTTCCCCTAGTATACAGAAATTACAATGCTCTAGCATTACCAGAAAATGCCAGAACTTACATGTTTTGACAATTATACCACCAGCTTTAGGTACAAAACCATAGAACTTCTAATTTGGAGTGAGAGTGGGAAAAGATGATGATAATCTGGTTAAATTTCTGCTTACC